CTAACAATAATGAAATGTCAATGATTGAAATCATGAGTCAATTGAAGCTAGCCCACTACCTGAAAGCACTGGACGGCCAATTCATCCTAGTATGGTACTCCTTAGCAGTGATTCATGATTTCAATCAGTGAAATTTCTGAAATCTCCACAGAACCCCTTCTGATAATAATGAAATGATCAAGTAAATAATAATACCTTTAAAATTTATCTTTATATCTTTCCTTATCATTCAAAGCTTTTTCATGAAGTTACCATCCACATTCCATCTTGAAATAAAATATATAATGTCATTTATTATTCTATACAAAAATCAAGTCATTCTACATAGCTTCCAAAAAACTTTTACATTTATTTTTCTTTTTTTTTTGGCATTCTTTTGTTGAAAATCACTTGGAATAATTAGACTAAACAAACATTTGTTCATTCATTCATTTTTATTTATCCCAAAACATTTTTACGTTAGATTTAACTAAATTCTGGCATCATTTATTTATAAACTATCCCAACTTATTATTATTATTATTATTATTATTATTACACTAGAAATATAAACATAAATGACTTAAAATACATTCCTGTTTATTTTACTCAACTATACAATATAACAGTAATCTAAAAATGAATATGATATTACCTAATCTAGAAAAAGAACAAACCAATAGACATCTGTAGAAATAAACAACTGCTAAGGAACTAATACTGACATTCTATACGTTAGTTAAATGTAACTTAAACTTATCTTTGATATGATTAACAATAACCTTTTATATATCATAAATTATTAATATTATTGTTAATGTAACATGATCTTTATATTTGATCATTGAAATATTACTATAATACTTCTTAACTAATAATAGTTATCCTTTGCCTATATGTTACATACATAGTGTTCTGTTTATTTTATAAGTGCATGATTATTTGTAATTACAAAAAAAAGTACAAGCAAAGAATTCGATGCTAAAAATTTGTATCCTGCAAGATGATCTTGGTTAAGAATATAGAAGACAAAAGAAAAAAACGATGGTCATGATATTAAATGTGAATAAATGTATATTAATTCAAAGTATATATTTTTTTATGTATCATTGATATGACAGAATGTTATTTGTTCAACAGATTACCTAGATGTTGTTTATCTAACTTAATCATAGATATTATGTAATATATAGTATAGATTCGTAACGTGTGACAAATATGTCTTACGGACATAAAATAACACTTTTAGAATTATGAAATGAAGGCATGAATAATAATAATTCCGAATAAAATGATTATTGAATGTATGCTACAAATATAAATGTTATCATGAATTAAAACAAACTGAAAATGAAATGATGGAGCATTGAACTGTCGTTTCATCCTACATCCAGGAATTCGTAAGGTTAAATATAATGTGAACCCTAAATGACAGTATAACCAGTAGTTTTAGATCATTTGATGATTATATTATAAAATGGCGGCAAAGTTGAAATTTTTGCTTTGCCTCTCAAATTTAAGTTTATTTCCCAGATATAATTAGCGTCATATAATATTGAGAAAAAAATAACTAATTAAATGAAGCATATGTGACAATAGTCTGATGATATGAAGTCAGAGCGTTATGTTATATTCCGGAGATAATTATGGGTGATATGTCTAGAGAACTATCTATTGACAAATATTATACATATATTGTTAGTGTATAACTATTCAATAGCTAGATTATGTATATGTATATTTACCTTACTATAAGCTTCATTTTGTTTTATAATCTATTATTATACGATTTACCGTTCTCGAGTTATGACCAGTCTATTAATTACAGTCTCACACATTCACAGCCTTTTTTGTCTAGGTCTTGTAAAAATGTTATTTTCTATTTTATGGTACGATGTGGTCTGTTTAATTTGTATATAAACCCAGTATGTTTCAAATACATTATTTATATCGCGGAGACTGAGATAAGTGTTCTGGACTCAAGAGGCAGGTCTATGCAAGTAAAAGGGCTAATAAGGACTGTAGACTGTTCGTACAGGTGTACGCGTTGTTGGTCCTGTCAATAATTGTAGGTATCATTACGTTATATATTAATAGAGCACAAGTTCACAAGTTATAACACATAATAAAATAATCAGACCAGCATATAATGAACTTATCTATTCATATTGATCTCATCTTTGTTCATCGTCAATTTTAATTCTTATTGAATAAAATTAGCCAAATGTTGTGAATTAAAATATTAACTAAACTAAAGAGTGATTTTCATAGTTGTTTAATAGTTTTTCCACATTCAATGTCATGTTGAAATCTTTGCTATTTTAATACTGTATATAACAATCAAATGATTATCTTCTACATACATCTATATGTCATTATGGATATATCTTTCTTTGATATGATCATCTAGCGAATAATATAGACGTTGTTTATTATTGAAACTGTTTCACCTTAATTAAAATCTGTTTGAATAAACAATCTCCTTTTTTTCTGTGTATGAATTATCAGAATGGGTTTTGTGGAGATTTTCAACTTGTGTATTAATTCTCAATATGAAACTATTGAAATGTTCTTGAAAACTACTTAAAATTCTCATCCTGATTTTATTCACAAACAACTAGATATAGATGATTCACTATATAATTTAGAAAAACAAAATGTTTATCGTCAGAAAGTATTGAGGAAGAATAATTAAATACTGGGAAATTATACAATACAAAATATACAATCATCAATCAATATAGATAAAATTTGTTTCTTTACTTAGAGTAATTAAAATACCTAGGTCATTTTGTATCCAACCATTTAACAAGGGCCTTCAAGTAATCATAAAAACTCAAATTGATTGACAGTAACTTATAAAAATCACTTTCAAAATAAGGTATATTACCTTTAATTAAAATGTAAACGAAGTATAATTTCAACAGTGATGCTTATTTTAAGATGAATTATAAACATTCGTTAATTTTTTTAGAATGATGTTTTTTTATATGCCAATCAATCAGTTTATAGGACATTAAGGTTAAGCAATCTTGAGGCTGTTCATTTTAAATACTTGTATCCGTAAAAGGTTGTTATGTTTCCGAACTTGCAACGTCATATATATATATATATATATATATATATATATATATATATATATATATATATATATGATAACTGTAACATCAAAATTCCGCCTTGTTTCTGAAGAATGTAATCGGTTATAGTACACAACATTTCTTTGAGAACTGTTATTTTAACTACCCCCATTATCAGTTCGAAAAAACATTTTTCTTTATAATACGTTTTGATGATTGATATCGCCTTAAAATTGTCAGTGGTATTCTATTAATAGGATGTCCTCATTATACACTGAACAATATCATCAAATCCTAATTCCGCACAGTTAACCTATGCGTTTCGGAGAACATTATAGTTATAAGTCATCCAATTTGGCTACAAGTATTTTTAGTCATTGTATATTTTGCTAGACAAAGCTGAAGAATATATATTTATGCTACAAGGCTGACTAAAAGATATTTATGCTTAAGATCTTTAGTGGATGGTGACGCTTTCCTCTAAGAAAAAGAATAAAATATTTACTAGTGAATTCCCTCTGATCATTTGTATATGGTATATTTCACTGATCAAACATATAGATCAGAATGTCCATATAATTATCAGTTGATACGAATTCGTTGATAGCACATTCATTCGAACAATTGGAGTTTAATACAATATTGAATTTATGAGAGTCGATCAACTGTAATTTATTGGATTGCCTTAAAAGTTATATTTTTAATAGTCGAGATCATGAGTTAATTGAAGCAAGACCATCATGGAAAACCTGGATGAAGTAGACGGCCGTTTCATCCCAGATTATATCTCTACTAGTGTTTATCACAGTAAATACATTATGATAAATATGCTTTACTTAAGATGTGCATGAGATTTTAGATATTTTTAATCAAAAAATATTAATTCCAATGGTTAAGATCGTGAGTCAGTTGAAGCTAGACCACCATGCAAAACCTGGAAGCACTGGACGGTCATTTCGTCTTATTGTTTCGTCCTAGTAGTTAATTGTAACTCTTATTATTGTAAATTCATGAATTTACACTATCGAAAATTTTCGATAAAATATTGTCAAACTGTTCAGTAACGAATCTCATAATTTTTTAGCAAAGACTTTCGTAACCATTTAAATGATTATAATTAAACTTCAAGTGAATAGATTAGAAGGTAATGATTGTGCAAATAATAAGAATAACAGGATAATATGCAGTTTCATATTATTCTCTGTCGTTACTTTCAAGTTGTAGAGATTACCACTAGTTGTTCCAGTCTACTGATACATCGACTCGTTGAAATTTGAAAAACATCTGGTTACTGATTTTCCTTGGTTCATCAGACTAAAGTCACTGATTAATGTATAAAAAGGATACTTGTATAGCCAATTACGTTATATTGCATGGTTTGGATTGGGATTATCGAAATCTATAATAAAGTTAAAATAGTCATCGGGAAGCTATTTACCAGTATTACTTATTAGCTGCATACACATAAACTTTCAATGAACCCCATAAGTGATCTATATTATTTCAAGTAGCTACCTAACTTATTACTTACGATGGTAATGGGAGCAATGATTCTGAACACACTGAAATGAGTGACGACTGTTAAGGTTCGTTGGTAATAATTACCGAAAAATATCAAAGGATAGCCAAGTAGGGCTTTTCATGGTTTATTTGTAGCGTTAAATAACCAAAACAGTGTGAGAAACAGTCAAACGAATTGATTAAATAAACATGTTGGCAATTTATCAAGAAAGAAAAAGAATACAAATTGATCCTTCAAAAGGAAGGATCATTTTGTCAAGGTTCATTATTGTTATATTATCTAGTGATCAAACAATGTCATGCGATCTAAATTATAATTATTCTAGAATAAGGAATAAAATCCCTTGTAAAACCATTTATACATGTACTCTTACTATGTTACACTCTAATTGCATAAATATTTCCTCTTCATTTTTCTAGTCAACTCAATTTCACCTAAACCAACCACCTGTTTTCTATGTACTAACAACTCAACGTATATTATTATTTCTAACAATTATGGTATATTGAGACAAATGAACCAGCATTGTGAACAAATAATAAGGTGAGTATTTTGTTTTTAAAATGAAGTAAACTATTATAAATGACTAACATTTCACTATTACGGCTTATTTCACATGAATTAATATCTATTCTGCATCAATGAACAAAACGTAAAACTTAGTAAACTCAAACATTTTCACGTCTACTAATAATTCCCACATGAAATGCTTTTTTTACCGGTTAATGTTTTTTTTTGTTGCTTGGTCTGGATAATTTTATTCGACCTAGCGGAAACTATAACTCAATTATTCAACTATCAAATTTGTCGTCAGTTACGTAACGTGTAAATTTCATTTAGAAATTCTGGTTATAAACTCGATATATATATACCATTTCACCATTCAGATATCATATACGAAAACTGAAATCCCCTATATGTTTTCAAACATAGTTTATTCTTACCCTTAATCTACTCTGGTAATACTGGTTTATTGTTCAGAGTGAGTTTTGCATTGTTTTTGACATTCACCACCTTGTTATTATCTTTGCTTCCTTTTATCTTCTAATTTGTCTTATCAAGTGTATATATGATCAGAATGTTCGGAAAGTATTGTGCAAACAAATCACATAGTTCCCAATATTTTCTTGATTTTTTTCTTTGAAGATTGAAATTTTATTACGCTAAAATAGAAAATAATTAGGAATATTCCACAACATCAAAAATCGCTATAATTATATAAGATTCTCTGAGTTAGTTTTAAAAATTACATGTGGTTAGTATACCTGAAAGTGGTTGTGTGGAGAAGCATTTACTGGATGATATTCAACAGGTTTTTGGATTTCTGTTCGATCATAACATAAAAAATGTGAGCCTAACACATTAAGGGTTAATATTCAGTTGTACATTTGCGTCTATACTGTTCCTACTTATCAAGTGGTGAATAACCCAATCCAAAATGTTGCATCTCACTCTATAGTCAAAACCTGAATATGAAGACAATATTGAGAGATTCATTCCAAAAGTAATTATTTCATCATAAACTGATCGATTCGAAGCTGCAGATCAACAAATGGAAATTAAGAAACCTAATAGTATAGTTTTTATTGGTTTGTGTATTGTAAGCAATGTCAATGGATTACTTCAGCTATTTTATCCGCTATAAGCAAAGATGAATGGTGGATAACAGTGGTGTCCAGGAAGCGCCTTTCGTCCTATTTGGAACCTGTCAGCCGATTGTATCTACATTCCAGAGTTGATGTTCACTCCGTCGTTGGATCCCACTGCTAGCGACCATAATCTCAGCTTATAATGCTTGTGACTTAAGACAATATCGAGGCAATCCGTACAGGATACACATATGCCAATAAAAGACTGAATAATTGCAGTCTTAAACATCAGTGGAAAAATTCAAACAAACTATAAAATATGAATTATTTCATTTATTGTTTCATGATGCATGATTTCTGAAAATATAGTTATTTTGTAATCACATGTTATACACGGTCAAAACGATCTAATAGGCGACATATACTTGTTTTAGCAGTTGAACTCACGAGTTTATTTAAACTTGACCACCACTGAAAATCTGGAGGCACTAGAAGGCTGTTTCTTCCCAGTGTGGGAGTCCTCAGCTATGCGCATCCACTATTGATTCGTGATTTCATCTATGAAAATACTACAATTTCCACAAACCCCCATACTGACATATTTTTTTTACCTGGTTTGTAATATTTTTCTTTTCTAGTTTTATAAAACAAACAAAATAGTCAGCTGATGGTTGATGTATGTATGATGATGAACGTATCTTATGATTCAATATTATTACTGAGAAAACAGAAAATATCGAAGCATATGCTGTTTTACATAAATTAGGACTATGATCGACTAGAGTTATAAAATGTCAAAAGTTGATAGCAAGTATCAAAATCATTTACTTAATTTTTGCAATATTGAATGCATTATTAAGATTTGGAGTTGGCTATCAACTACTTGTATAAATTCTAACTTGAATTTAATTTCCTGTTTTTAATTTTACGAATATAAACTATCTATTCTGTATGTACCCATTTATGAGTGCCACTTGTTGTTTGGATTGTTTATTGTTAGTGATGTTTTCTACGATTTTTCTACGATTCTCATTTTGAATTTGAATACATAACATCACTGTATTTGCATTAAATAAACAGTATGAGTCCTAATTCTGAAGAATTAATTCTTTCTAATTCTAGCTTTTCAAAATTGGGAATGACGAATAACTAAAAATATTTTGATTTATTCCTTCTATATGTTTCGTTTTAGTCTTTATTGGTTTCAATCATTTGAATAAACATGACACAACATTTCAATAAAGTACTAACAAAAGCTAACAATAATTGAAATAGACAGTCGAACTGATTTTTATTATTTTAGCAGGTAACAGTTACTATAAGCATTTCTTAATCCGAAATCTAAGGTATTTATCATGTATTTTTATGTAAACAAGTTTGAACTTCACATGAAAACATGTAATAACTCAAAGTATTCAAAAGTCGGAACGTTGTATTCGCTAAGTTGAAAGTGAACGTTCTCACTCCTTTGAAATCCATCTTTAAAGTATGTCCAGTAATAATTTGATTCCTAAACAACTGTAATAGGATAAGCAAAGATGAATGGTGGTTAGTAGTGGAATCTAGGACACGCATTTCATTCTATTTGGGACTCGACAGCTCGATGAAACACGCGTCCTAGATCCCATTGCTAGCGATCATCATCTCAGCTTATAATGCTTGTGACTTAAGGCAGTCAAAGGAGTTCACACAGGAAGTACATATGCTAATAAGAGACAATTGGAAGATTCAGATAAACAATACAAAATGTATTATAATAGAATAAATTTTAAAAAACATAGACAACGACTTTCATATGTTTCATAGTCCAAAGGGACAGTATTATATATTTGCAAAACATCCATTATTATTTTGCGCAGTCACGATGATACAGAGTTGAAATGATTAGAATCAATTTATTCAAAATCCTATTACCACTTATTGATTATATCGTTGATAGTTTTAGTTATCATCATTCAATAATATGATATTTCACAACAATAAAACAGCTTTCATATCAAATATATAACATATTACTATCACTTCATATTATTGTGTTGACACATTGAATACATAATGATTCAGAGTAAGAGTTTTATTGTAGCGACTGACCATTTATATAATGAGTTGTTGCTAGTCATCAGCAATCACTAAATACTTGTAATCGGCAGTCATTTCACACACTGATGAAAGGTCTTTTAAAACTCTTTCAAGTCAGTTTAATTGAACTGCTCAAATACTTATAAAGTTTTGATCTAAATGTTCTACAACTTAAGATTGAATATGATTTTTGAAATGATTATCTTAAAATTAGCTTATTCAAGGATTACTTAGTTTGTTTGGAAACTAGTAAATAAAGTTCGTGATACATTGTATAGATGTGCATTTGTTTATCATCTGTACCCACCAAAGATTTTGTCTAGGTTTTAAAAAGTTCATCTCATGTAACATAAAAATAACCCTAAGCTTTTAATATAACAATCTGCATACGAACTTTCGTTGTAAACACCATCTTAAGTAAGTATTAAATAAAATGATATGGTTAAAGATAACCTTGTTGATGCCATCATCATGTGTATATCAAATTAATACAGTGATCAAATATTAAAGTTATGTTAGTAATGAATTGTACCAGCTTTTATGAACAGTATAATAATTTACTTGCTTGGCTTCTTTTTTATCATAGGGGTCATTTGTAAAATTATCTCTTTTTTTCACAGTGGGTGGTCTGCTTAATTACTTGCCTACTGTTAGAGTGTTGTATGCCGTTTGGTTATATTTGATTTGTTCCACTAAACTGTTGTGTTTCACGGATATTCACTTGTACACACTTTATAAGATATCCCAACTAAAACAGTAGAACAAATTTTCATACGCACGTATACACAAAAATGTAGGAATTTATAACTATGCGCCTTATAGGATACAAACAAATTTAGAAGACTTGATCCGCTTTAGAATAACGGTAAAACTTCCTGTTAAACAGGTTTCTATCAATATAGTCAGCATAACAGGTAGAATGAAAACTTAGTGAAATATTGGTGCTAGATACAAAATTACACTGTAGTGTGATGTTTATCTCATCCCGATTTCTGCATGCTTTCTTTTACTTAGTCCAGTGACCCTAAAAAATCATATACTCTTCAGTATTGCAGTTTAATACCACACTAATCGATACAATAGATTGAATTCACTTACTGAATACGGAAGAACGTTGTAGTGCTACCTCGGTTACTGCAAAATAATCCTAAAAATACTATATTATAAATGGGAATATATTATAAGCTTACTAGGTTAATAAATTGTAAAAGCACTGACCGAATCTTTCATATTAATCATAAGAATCAAATACAGGACATTCCATGTGGCTATAATTGGTGACAAGTAAAATCATCCGTTATCATTTAATTGACTTTTGAAATACACTTTCAACATATTTGATTAACATTACATTCCCATTGATGAACTATATTTTGGTCGAAGGATCTACATTCTAACAATTCACCTTCTTACTTGTCACAGATAAAAGAATATATCGTTAATTATCATATATTGATGAAAGTAAAAATATGACATCAACTTACGAACAGAAATACAATGTCACACAATTTATCACAACTATGAATAATAATAATAAAAGGAAATATTTTGAACAATTCTTCATATTCCGCATAACAGTATGGTATAGAGAAGTTATCATCCTTTTGGTGGAGTTTTGTTCTTTGAGCTGGATAATTTGGTCCTGGAGTTTTCACTGTTCTTCTGGACGGTATCATTAGCACAAACTTCGAGTAGAAGTGAAGTGTTAGAATTTTTTCACATATGACTCCCATCTTGCCCTTTAGACCTTGATCTTGATGATGTCTTTGAGAAGAACAATGAAAAGCTCCACGACCAAACTATCCAGTTCAGAGAACAAAACTTCACCAAAATCATGAAAGTGAGATACGAATTTCCACCATCTCAAAGTTGCCATCTCAAATTAATATTCCATGAAGAAATATTTGGCAGTTTCCTTTAGTAAATATTAGACTTAATTTGATCACTTGTTATGTATATATGAATCTTAAATGGCAACATATTTTTCATAAAACGTTTGTTGGTTAACAGCAAAGGTGTAACAACTCCTGCTTGCAAAAAATAAATGAACCACGAATATAAATAATCAAATCGTTAATGAAAACATATTTGAATGAATGAATAGTTTGTTACAGTAAAGTTTTCTCTTATGATTTGCTACCTTTTTTACAGCCATGAAGCATTTAAGAAAATTATGGAGTCTATGAATTCATTCGAAGAACAAATGATATCACTTAGTGATGAAAATTATTTAACAGCTATTTTTTATGACCCTACTCTTGTCAATTATACAATCTTCACAAAGAATTACTGCATGTCTGATAATTTACCTGAGGTAAGTTAGTTGGAATTAATATCAAATACTTCCTCTTCATATATTGTTGGTACATACACATTTTAATTGAATATATATCAAAATACATATGTTTCACTACAATGTATATTAACCGTCTAGTAATACTTGGAATTTGTCGTTCGTCAAAAAGTTAATGCCTTATCTTGCTGAGACTGGTTTATAGTAACACAACTTGTTTCATAATGGCTATAATGCGGCAATCCTCACAGGATGCCCATTTGCCTACCAAAGCAGATCAAATTTCATTTTAAATTATCAACAATGGGATAATTTAAACCGAATGAAGTTAAGTTAATGGATTAGGTTGATATAGACTGAAACGTTTGACATTACAAAAATACACGAGACTATAGCTGAATTCAGACCATCGGCCTCCGTACTAAATGTCTTATCTTCGATAATGTTTATCAATCTACTAGGCTATGGTTTGCCATAAATTAAGTTTCGCACAGTCATTGAGTGCTCTACTCGAATATAAATCAGAAAAATGTAGGAGATCCACAATATCCTTAGAGTTGAGTTCCTTTGTCCGAGTCTAAATCACATTGAGCTAGACTAAGTTACCATTTAATTGCACCTCTTAATTCATTTGGTAGAACTGATGGTGTGTTTGTTGAAGAGTAACAGTAAGAATCCTGATAGAATTCAGATTTTCGTTTGATATGCATGTGTTCAAGAAAAAATATCGAAAAAGTGCATTGTTTACAATGTAATTTCACTTGTGATAACCTTGATTAGCTATCAGTACGCTAAGGTAATGACGATTTTGAGTCATAATTCCCATTTTTATCTGACTTGGAAAAGAACTTAAACAAACATATCATTTAATGCTAGACATGATATCAGTGTCTTTTTTAAACACTGATCACAAAATTCCTACCAATCATCTAGATAATTTAAGATCCTGAACTAAAGCAATTGGGACTTTCTATCACATAACAATGAATAAACTGAGCAACGTGACTGGTTTCGCGTAAATGATTATTTATATCATGCATACGATACTGAAACTTAATTACTCTTATTAGTACCAATAGATCATATAATTCTTCGAAAGAATACATAAAATCAAGTCTGAACAATACATACATCAATTTTCATATTGCAAAACTTTTACCGGATAGTTATTACGTATGTTGGATTGTTTCTCGTAAGTCAATAATCATCCAACAATCACCGAAAAAAATCTTGTTCGAACTAAATTTGTTTATCTCTGTTTATCGACTTTCTATTACGTAATTAAATTGTTCAGTCAAGAACTGATAATAATAGGGATCTATGTCTACGGAAAAAATATATTTCAAACAGCTGTATATAAACAATACATTTGATTTTCCATTGGTTAACTAATCATAAATTGTTGGATGATATAGGTGTTTTTTTCCCATAATATGTAACAGCTCAGCATGAGACTGTGGAGATTGCTGAATTTTATTGAAATTACAAAGTAATTTAAGTTCGACAACCATTGAAAACCCGGAAGCACTAAAGTCCACTTTAGTCCTAGTATGGGGCTTTTCAGAAGGGCACATCCACTTTCACGCAACCGGGTAGCGAATTAGGGGACTAAAGTTCTATTTGCTGACGCGTTATATTATACTACTTAACTAAAGATTACTATTTTTGCTGATAAACAGCATTCTTCCATATGATTAGTTGTAGAGCTTTCTTTACAACAAGATATAATGTTAACCCTTCCATTCATATATATATGGTGTTAAAATCATGAAACAACCTAACTTAGATTGGTGCGTAATTTTACTGAAGTCCAACTGCCATAACAAACTCCTCACTGACATATTACGCATTTTGTAGGCCCACTGTAACTTTATTACCCGTTTGTATTTCTGGAAGACCCAATAGTTCATAAAATTTAAAAAAAATTATATGATAGTTTTTCTTGTTCAATTGTTATATAAATATTTTAATGTAGTTAAAATGCAATTAATGAAAGCTTTTTCTTAAATGTATTGACTAATTTCGTTGCTAAATACAATCATATTTTAATCAAACACTTACAAAATGTCCATAGGCAGTATAAAATCTTCCAAGGTTTAAGATGACTTTTTGTCCTGTATAGTTCACGTATTCTCATTGAAGCAATACTTAAAACATAAAACTGTTATCCTCGCAGTCTCGGATACCAATCCATTCGGTCAAATATCCTATGTTAACACATCATTCTGTAGACAAATAGACTTGGTTTATTTTCAAAACACTATCGTCTCTCTTCCTTTTTTCAGTTGAAAAAATACACAAGGATATAAACTTTATTATCAAGAGACAAATAATACCTGTCATAAACCTATAGTCTTATGTTTCATTGTCAATTATATTCTGATTATCATGTGATAATTTCATATTAACAAGTGACAGTTCTTAAATAAACCTGATTAGACATTTTTTTGCAAGTTGTAACGAGATCCTGTCATTAGACTGAACAATATGTACATTCCTTTACTTATAGGAAAATATAAATTTCATATTATTCTATTAGTTAATAACAACATTTCCATATTTCATTCAAGTTATACTTTTTTTATAGAGAAATTTATCTAAAGTAAAAGACTTTTATCAGTAAAATGAGAAACTTATTACATAAAACATGAGATTCGTTTATTATTGCCAAATCAGTATAATATTTACCTCTAAATCATTGGATTTGTTAAATTGATTTTTTATTGATTATAGAAAATAAATAATAAAAAATAAATAAATAAGAGAAAATCAATATAAGAATTAGGTAATTATCATTGTTTAATTGAAATTATTTATAAAAAGGAACATTCGCCTATATATGAAAGTTAATTGACTGAAATCATTTTTTCATCATTATAACTGTATAAAATAAATGATTAATTGGCTAAATCATATGACAGTGATTTAGTTAACTTTTATCAAACACTGATAAATCTATATATTTTAATAGTTGAGATTATGATTCAATTGAAGCTAGACGACTATGGAAAACTTTGAAGCACTAGTTTAGAGGTTAGACGTTCGCACGCAAGACCATCAGGTCCTGGGTTCGAATCTCGCGAGGTAAGATGTGAATGTGCACTGCTGAGGAGTCCCATAACAGAACGAAACGGTCGGCCAGTGCTTCCTGGTTTTCCATAATGATCTAGCTTCAATTCACTTATGATTTTAACTATTAAAATTAATATTACATTAGTATTTCACATTTAATTTCATTAAATATATATTATTCATTCATTCCGTAATTAATCATACATTTTTTCCATAGATTTCAGTAGCAACGACCTTCAATGAAACAATGTCATGAAAACATGATAACGTGTGTATCTAAGATATATCACATTGGTATAATAATACGTTATACCATTAAACCAATTTGTAATATGTTGTATAGACCAACTATTATTAATGAGGCAAATTAGAAATGCTTATACCATTTGATTTGTCAGACAGTTTACCTCTTCGTATATATATATATATATATTGCTTGAGTTTCCAGATGTCGTTTTACAAAGTAAAGAACTGGATAATATACAGTTACATAGTCATCATTACATGTATTTTAACAATGAAAGATTTTAAAAACTATTCGGAACTTGGGATTTACACACATCATAATAGGTAATTTGCCCAACTAAACCAAGGGCTGGATCATTTTCGAATGACAACTTACCAAAAAACTGGGAATATGATTATTTTTCAATTGTTTTACCTATAAATAGCAAATTAAGTCATTTAAAAGTAATTGGTACTTTAGATTCAGTTCGTCTTTCAGGGAATATCATCATAATAAATTTAAACATTCATTTATTCATTTTTCTATACCTGCCCGTTTATTTTAATATAACAGTACATTCTAAGATAATCATTAAAGACATACTATTTTTCAGATACTTTTTCGTGATACATTAAAAATACACTCTCTAATTAAAATAATTATCTACACATATCATTTCACTATAACCTAGAATCTATATGGCTGTGTAGAGCCGAAGGTCTCATATGAGACTAGAGGTTCACCATTAGTATTTTGAATGGTTCGGCATTACTTTGGCAAGTTTTGCCGACTGTTCATGCACAAAATTGGTTTGCTGGTTAACCGGCTTCATTCATATTGGTGGTTGCTTTTCAGTGTTCTCAAGTTCCATTGTGATTAGGACATTGTAAGGCATGTCGCCATTGCTAAAATTAATGAGTTTGACTTTTGTGTAAGCGGAATAGGTCAACTTTGACCTATTCGTGCTGTGCATAATTGATTCACGCGATCATTTGTCGGAATAACCATACATGCGACGTGAATGTTTATATGAGTGGTGCGAATGGTCCACCAGGGTGCTTGGTGCATGTGTGGTTGCGCCACAGGGTTGAGCTGTACTATTCAAATTGTAGCGTTAAAGCCTATACGGTGTCTGGTTCTCATGTGAAGCGGCCCACAAGGGTATATTATATAACTAACTATCATTTCACTAGGTCATTATGTTCTGTTTATGAAAAATAGTTTAAAAATAAATAAGTAATTTTCCCACAAGAAAAAGGGAAAATACATTATTTAATTCGTTTCAACAAAATACCGATTATTTTTCATTGTCATGTTATTTTTAATTGAATTCATGAATTAATTAATGCACACTGTTAAAGAATCCCATACTAGGATGAAACGGCTATTCAGTTCTTTCAAGTTTCTCATTAGTGATCTAACTTCTATGGATTCATGAATTCAACTATTAAAATTATTATCATATCCACAAAACACCTCTCTGAATATTGTTATTTATAAGTGGTGACAAGAAACATAAAAAAAGAACTAGAACATAACAATTTGTTGGCTATTGATATAAAGCATTTAATAAACGGAATACACCCATTAAGACATTGAATAAAAACAGATTAGTTCAGCGAAGAGTTCTTTTTTCGGCGAATTCATTTTCAAAGCTGTACAATCGCAATTAGTCCCTTTTGTAAATTTCGGTGGAACAATGAGAAGGTGGGGTTGATCTGAT